GCTGGACTTGGAAAAGCCCGTCATGTACCCAACGCAAACCAGCCTAGGATGGTATAGTACATGTCTGATCCCTGTATCCCCTGCCCTCTACTTTAATCATGCATACCTGAATCACTAAGCACACGCATGCGCAGGTAGCCAGGAAACTAAAGCAGTAGGGTACAGGAATACAGCATACCTGATTTCCAGTCTTGGGTGTGGCACAGGCCAGATGGGTAGCCTGGTAGCCACACCCACCTATGCCTCTGTGTCCCGGGCATTAACATATGAGGCTGAGGATACCTGGATAGCTCCTTGCACTCTCCAGGCCCAATTCAAGAGTTGCCCTGTCTTCCAGGGGGAAGCAGACATACCCCTTTCCGCTACATATGCTGAAAGAGGCAGCCTGGCTCTTGCCAGTCTCACGCACACCTGCTGTCCTGATCGTGACAATAAGGTAATAAGGACCTACGTGCAAGTTCCCAACCCTCTACTGTCTCAAGTCTCATCGGGAGCTCAAGGTCAGGGGGTCCTCATGCCAGCTAATGGGAGGCTAGGACAGTGATGGGGTGGCTCTACCTGCCAGAGTATCCCGGTACCTTGTCCAGCTGTTCAGCCTGCCCACTCCACGGTCAGTCACAAAGGAGTGGCCTTAGAAATCCTGAGCATCCATGTGGTACATCTGGAGGCAGGAACCCCATAGCCTTTGGCGACTAGGCCCTGTGCTTTATCTAGGCTGAAACTACTGTTGGCCCCTGGCCCTGTACCAGCCCCAGAACCACAGGGCTCCCTGACGTGTTCGGAGGAAATCAGGCAACTTTGCTCAGTCACGCTTGCTAGGCTCCAGCCTGATGCGACCTCTCAAGGTAGAGATGAGCTGAGCTGGCTTGGGGATCCTAGAGCAAGGACTGGGGTGGGTGGGTCTGTGGTTGACCTGCGTGCTTTCTGCAGGCACAGTTCAAAACTTTACAGTCAGGAAGGGTCTGTCAATGAGCAGGCATTGCAGGCTCCCTGCAGTTCTGGCCTGAACCAAATTGTGGTAACAACAGGATACCTAATTATATTCCATAGTAAATTGATCTTCCTCTGTCCTGGTTTTTTGAAGAAGCTCATCATCTGAGAATTTAGGATGGTATAAAGGTGTTTGGATTGTGGGATCATCTCAAGCACTCCCAATAAACTATTCAAACGATTAGAGTTAGGGTTAGAATTGATGGTAGGGGTCAGAACTTGGGCCCTCTCTGGCAGCACTTAGGACACGAGCAACTAGTGGATTTGCCCCAGGTGGGGCCCAGTGCTCTGGAGGAATGAAAGTGTTACTCATCAGGAAAGGGCTGTCATGCCACAGAGACCCCAGAAGTTGTTGGAAGGGGCTCTGGAGGCCAGGTGAGTGGGTTTACTTGAGATTAGATGTCTCCTTGCCAAATGGATCTGGGGTTTGGGGGCCCCCACTGGCCCTGGAGATGCATGGAGGGAAAGATGAGGCGGGGTTCCGCCTGCTCCATCGAGGGCCAGAGGGCGTCCAAGTCAGGAACTGGTGACAGAGCCACTCCCAGTCCCTTCTAGTCCAGGGGCTGAGCAAGGCTGGCCTCTGTCATAACTCTCACTCTCTAGCATTTCCACACCCAGGCTTTATTGAAGCAGCAGGCACTAACTAATGCATCAGTTACAGACATGTGTCCCCAGGAGCCCCCCATCATCCACCCACAGCCTTGTCTGCCAGCCCAGGGCCAGCAGATTCCCTCCCCACCTCTATAGTAAATTATTTCCATTATTTCCTCCAGTCCTGTTCCTACAGCTCTAACCCCAGGAGAAGACGAAGTGCCGAAGGTCTCCATCAGTCCTCTGACACGATTTCCATCCTTCTATGGATATGATAACACTCTCTAAGGCTTCCTTGAACTGGGAGAAATCACTTTGCTCAATAGTACAGTCCTTGGGCGTGTCTGTTGGCTAAATAAGAAACACATGTTTAAGTCATCTTCTCAGCAGAACAATAACAACGAAGAATAAAATAAAAGTGAATTTCTGTCCTCCCAGCCATGAGGGTCTTGTGAGCCCTCAACACCTACAAGGTAACTTAGGCGTATACTCCCTGTCTGTCTGAGGGAGGACAGGGGTGGGGGCTGCCTGACTGGTGATGGCAGAGTCTAAGGACCATTTGCAGCCGTGGGGAAAGAGACAACAAGGTGACAGCTATTGTGTCATGGCTATCCAGGACAAGGTCATGAAGACAAGCAGGATGGGAGAACACAGGGGGCCACACAAACAGAGAGAGAACAGCCCTGTCATTTTTCCAGACATGGCCCCTAAACTACAGCTCATCCCTCCATCACTGACTCCCTCAGCCAGAAGAAGTCCCAAGGGTGGGGCAAATTGGAAGAAATGTGGACTGGCTGCCCCACCAACTGGAGTCAGCACAGAGAGGCCCTTCCCACTCCCTGGGCTGAGTTGTCTCAGACCTGCCCTACACTGACCTCTGTGGGGGAGGAGTGTCGCGACCCCTTGCCCGCAAGGAAGACGAGGAGTTGTTTATCACAGGCCACAGTGGAAGCCGGCGCCATCTTCTAATGGCGGCCATGGTCTATAAGAATGGCTTACCACAGAGGAGGGCCTTGGAGAGGACACAGATAGGAACCCAGGAATCCCTTTATTCCCTCATGCCTCACCTCCCACTCCCCACCCTCCGCCCTGTCAGTGAATGTCAGCTCTGAGGCAGCCCAAAGAAGAGCTACTATATGGCTCAAGATAGCAGCTGAGGATGGCAAGTGTTGTCCATAAGACCTTTGCCCACTGGGCTCCTGCAGGAAAATGAAGTCTTGGATTCCCCTAAAAGTAAACAGCAACTTACTTCCAGTTTGGGGCAGATTTTGGTGAGCTCCTCCATGTCCTTATAAACCTTTATTATGTGACAATCCTGATGATTATATTTTGCAGCAAGATCCTTCAGGGTGGAGGTGAAGTTCTTCGTAAACTCCCCATAGCAGAGCTCCTGAAATAAAGTTGGGGTGCACTCGGGTGTGGAGTACATAGCAGAGCACTAGCTACCTCCCCAACTCATCCATCCTTGGTCACCCTGGCCTAACAGAGCCTGGGACTTAAGCTCAGGTCCTACCCTGACTCCCACAAGAGACCTGTGGTCCCTGCAGTAGAATCAATTAGTGTCTTATGCCCATTCTCTGCCCCTGCCACTGGGCCAGGACTAAGTTGGGACACTGGCCAGAGAGCCTGGCAAAGTCCAGGACCTGGCCACTGGTTCATCCTTTGGCTGAGATGAAGGTTCTGTTTTTTAATTTTCAACGTCTCCGGCATCCCTGGTTCTTATCTCTACCCGGTGTGCCAACTCAGGCAATCCCTCTCTCTGTGTTCAAATGTGGTCAGAAGGGTCCAAAGAGTAGACACTCCTTACCTCACTGGTATTCTGGGGCCTGCTGAAGGAACCCTGAAAGCAAGAGAAGTTGGTCAGAAACACAAAGCTCCATAAGAGCAAATTAATTTGATGAAGACCCAGGCTTACCTCATATATATTGTTGTCAGCAGAAAGTTCTTTCTGAATCTCAGCACAGAGTGCCGTGTGATTTTTGTGGGAAGTCTCAGTGGCTAACTTCATTGGGGAAGAATGACTTTGTGACCCCCAGAGCACACAAGCCAGAAGCACATACAGGTACATGGTACTCCTTGAAGGTAGCTCCCAGCAGACCTGAACCGGGGCTGGGCAGCATGTCTGCAGGAAGGGGTACCTATATATGTGAGTCTAAGGAAATGCAAACCTCTTATCAGTCATCAGTGGCTTCTGAGGAAGACAGAGAGGAGTTTATCGCTGGACAAGATGTGCTTTTCATGCATTTTTAATAATCATAGCACACTTCATTGGTCCTTCTCTTTGCTGAAATTCAGTTTTGGTCTAAGACTTATTATTTGTAATCACATCTGGGGTTATGACCTTTCTGTCTGCATGTGAGACAGGTGTCTGGCCAGGGCTGGTGCTGTCTGCAGGTACATCATCACCGTCCAATTCCAAAATATTTTCATTAACCCCCAAAGAAATCTCATGCCCATTAGCAGTCTCCTTCCATCCTCTCCCCAACCCTTGGCAAACTATTATAGTTTTAATTTGTTTTTCTCTTAAACAACATTAAGCACATTTTTAACTGTTGAGTCAAGTGCCTGCAGAGCTGAAGCCACAGCAAGCCATCTTCCCCAAGCCCACCTCCAAGGACAAGGCTGGCCCTGCTGCCCACCTGAGTGGAGACACACTCTCACTTCCTCACTGTCCCCACACCCAAGGGACACAAGAGACTAGGTACAGGGACAAGGTACTCGGCCTGGCTGGCAAAGCAAGGAGAAGGAGGAGGACTGCTTTTCTCTCAGCCTAAAGGCCATAGATTTTAAGAGATAGTAACTGTAAACTTTATGTGAAAGTAAAAACTAATTTAGAAAAATGCTACACAAGAGCCATGTTCAACACACTATGAACTTCACATTCTGACTCTTAAAGATTAAGATCATCCAATTTGGGGTGAGTTTGGTAAATATGCTGAGCTCTGACCCCTGTGGTTTGGTTTCTTTTTCCATGAACAGTTGGTCTATTTGCTGATTTACTTTAAGAGTTGTTGAAGCCCTGAGAGTGAGGGCAGGGCGTGGGGCACCAGGTCCAAGGCCTCCAAGGGGCATGGGTGTTTTGCCTGACACCAGGGTGAACCTATTCAGACAGTGACCAGTCAACCCCCAGCAGCACCCAGATCTCCCCAGGAGGGAGGATGCCCTTTCTCTGGGGCAAGCTTCCCCTAGTCACAAGCTAGTTGCTTTGATTTCCAAGTGAACCTCAATCTTTTCTCTGGGGTGGGAGCCCTTGAGCATCCAGGGGAGTACACCCAGGTGTACAGAATGCTGCACCCAGACCCCACCTCCCTTGGGCTCAGCAGCTTTGCCATGAGACCGTGCCCCAACCCCCACACCTCCCCATCCCTTCCCCCACCTGCCAGCTTCCTCCCCTCCTGAAAAGACACCAGAAAACTGTGTAAATAAAAGCAGACGTTCAATAATTTATTACGATGATAAAACATCTTTAATAAATATAGGATAGGATTTTAAATAAATAAATAAATATTTTAAAAGTATAAATATATAAATAAATAGTATTAATCCCCACCAGTATAAAATAACCCACACTCCTCTACCATGCCCATATCAGGGTCAGCATGGCCCAGGGCAGGTCCAGGCCATCCCCATTGTGTCTGTGGCCCACCCACTTGGTCCCTATAAGACGAAGATCCTGAGTTTCTGGCTCTTTCTGGGTGAGAGAGCCGAGATGTATGAGGTTAGGTCCCGGGAATGGCCTGATAGCCTGGCTGGCCCTCACTTCTGGACTTGGTTTCAGCAGCTAGAGGAGATGTCAGACAGAAATTTCTTCAGGTCCACTTTGAAACTTTTGAAGGTGATAAAATGGGTCTTGCAGGAAGTTTCCTTAAGAAAAATGAAAATAAAAAACACTTGAGTCCAGGTGAGTGCGTAATATGGGGAAACAGCAGCATATTTCTGGATTGCCTCTAAGAAGTCAGGCCAGGAGGCCCATTCTGCGGGGGATCGGGTGACACCTTTGCCACCCATGTGCTACCCAAGGGGTGCACAGCTCTGCCAACAGCAGCTGGTGCCAGGGCCCTGACAAAGTGCCAGCCTGAGCCAGTCTTCTGAATAGTCAGACTGTTTCTTTGACACCAGGCCAGGGCAGAATGGCCACGTGGAGGCCATCTCCCAGCACTTGGAAGGAACAGGGGTCAAGACCATAGACCTCACTCCCTTCCTGTGGGAAGAGACTGGTATTTGGGGCCTTGTCCTCTCCTGACAGGCCCCCTTCTTCCATGCAATCCATGCAGTCCACGTGGGGTCATGGGAAAGTCCTGTCAGGAGGAGCACTTGGGCCCTGGCATTTCCTCTGTACCTTGAGCAGGCCCTGAGTTTCCTTGGGTTTGCCTCACCTCTGACCTCATTCCTAATGACTTGAATAATAAGAAGCTGCTAGGGGAGTACCATGGGCTTCAGAGTTCTGTGTTTTTAACTCCTAAGGATGAAAAGGGACTAGCAGTTCCTGTGCTGCAGGGGCTCATCATTACCTGTCTGTCAATGCAGGAAACTTTAGGGGTGCTGAACAGCCACAGCCTGAGGTCTCTCCATACCCTGACCCCACCCTCCTGCCTGGGGCCCCTATGTGGGCACTTACTGGGGTGGGGGGGCAGTACTCCTTGTAGTGGCTCGCCATCGTGCTCAAGAGGCTCTTCAGCTTGGTGAAGCTGCCCGGCAGGCCCTGCTCGTACAGCTTCAGGCGGGTCTGCAGGCATGTTGGCTCCTGGGGAAAGTGTTCGTTCCTCCGTGAGCAGAGACCAAGTGCCAGTAGTGGGCACAGGCTGCCCTCCCCATCACTCCTTCCTGTTCCCATCCCTTGCACCCAGGAGAAGGGCCTCAAAGGGGCACAGAATGATCCCCAACTAATCTCAAGCGGGGTCCAGTCATACAAACTGCCCTGTCCACTGTGGACATTCAGTGCTTTAGTGGCACAGCCACATTCTCTTAGCCTGACACTTGGAGAGAGTCCCACCCCCAGGAAAGAAGGCCACTCTCACCCCACTATCCACAGAGAAGGGGTGGGGAGCGGTGGGGCATGGCCCAGACCTGCCACATGAGCAAGTGCCATTCCTTTGGCAGTCAGCACCCTGATTTCACAGGGCTTGGTCTCAGGGTACAGTTAATGCCCCAAGCCTGCAGTCCTGTCTCATGAGGTAATCCCCACTTTCCCTCCTGATTCCCCCCGCCCCAGCCCCCATGAGCCTCTGAATGCTAGGTCCCCCCATAGCTGCTCAGCTGACCCAGAACCCACATGATCAGGTTCAATGCAAGGCCAGTGGTCTCTTGAGTGCCAGATGCTACCCCTCCTCCTGTGGACACATGTGAGGGTCTATCTAAAATGGAGCCCCCACGTCAGGAGCCCCTGAAAGGGTATAGCAGAAAGAAGCATCTTACCGTAGGGTCAAACACGTTAGAGACGACTTCTGTTTCATTCTGTAGAAAGGAAAATGTCATGTTATCGATGACTATCAAAGCAGCTCCTGACAGTGTAAGCCAGTTCAGAGCCAGCAGGGTGGCCCAGGTACAGCCTGCCCCTTCTCCCTCACTCACCGTCTCAGCACCGGTGTCATTACTGTGGTTCAGAAGGCTCAGGGCTTCCTTGATGATGGCATCCACATACTTCCTGGGCTGGGGGACAGGGCCAGGAGGGCCGATGGGTGCAGAGATGCTATAAACCACAGTGCCCAGTAGAATTAGTTTCTGCAGCCACATCCTCCTGAGGACTTTAGCCTTTCTCTCTGAGTACAGGGCTCACTGGCAAAAGAGCTCTTATATACACAGTTAGAGGAAATGATTAATGGTGACCACAAAACGCCAGGGAGGCGGGGGAACTACCTGAACTGTGGAATCTCCTGGCCCTTATCAGCCACACATGGGAAAGGTGAGCCTTTCCCCCAGGTGGTCAGGCTTAGGGGTTTTCATTCATGAGCCCTTCCAAGAACGAACAGCCCACCTGCCCACCTCCTTGAGTGCTCTCCAGCCCTGGGCAGTCTGACCGAGCCTTAGGCTGCCCCCTCCTTTTGAGGAGCCTCTGGGCACAAGTTGGACTTCCTGGCCTGGAGTGGCCAGGGCGGGGCTTAGGAGACACTAGATAGGACTCCTACTCCCAGGCTCTCCATCCCGCCTGTTCTCCCAGGAGAACTTTGAGTAAGCTGTACCCACCCTGGTGGCCCACCCAGCCCCAGCTTTCCCCTTATCCTTCTGGCCTTCTCCTCTAGTCACCATAAGACACTAGTGAAAGGGGATTTCTCACTGGCCTCTCCCCTGTCCACTAGTTCAGCCAAACACAGTCTTGTGATGGCTCACATAGGCTCCTCCCAAGCACCCACGGGAGTTGGCAAGCTCAGTCCAGCCAAAGACCTCTGTCCCTGTGAGCAGAGGGAAGGACAACCATGTGCATTAGTCTAGCAAGACGGTAGCATGCTCTTTCATGGTGAGACCCCAGCTGACAGCTGCAGTCCTCGTTTACACAACAGATACAAGCCTAAAGCTACAGAGCTGGTGTGGATGCCCTGGGATAGAAGGTCACTTTCCTTCTAGAAATGAGTTGTTACAGCTCAGATAGGCAACAAGCCCCTAGGGCTCTGAGTTTGACTCCTGGCTATAGGGCAGTGAGGCCCTTTGAGGTGGGCACACCACCACCACCTATAGCCCCAGCAGCACCAGGAGCCCTGGGGGGCTCCATCATGTAGAGTTGTGTACGAGGCCCAGGGCCCACGGCTCCTCTGGTAAGGTCGTTCAGGCTTCATTTCCTACATGGTACCAACTGCAGCCCACCTACAGCTCCAGAGGCCTTAGGTGGGAGCAGGAACTACTTATGGAAAAACTACAGGCTCTTGATGGGCTGACAAGTGTTTGATTTTCACAATGAGTTTAGAGAAGACAGCATAAGTTGGTGTTTACACAAGGGATCCGGCTCAAGCTGCCCATGCTGGGAGTCTCTTGGCTGTAGGACTGTGGGTCCACACACCTCCATTTCTGTGTGTGTGTCACATGCAGTGAGAGTGAGTGTGTCGGTCTGTACTCATAAGTGCATCTTGGAGGGGAAGATATATAAGGATGCATCTGTGTGAGCCTGCTCCCTGTTACCTGCTTTGTGAGAGGTCTCTAGGTCTCATGGGAAACACTCTCCATGCTGGGCATCATGTTTCTGGGCCACAGAGTGATGAGGTCAGACACAAACAAGGACATTCTGCTGGACTCAGAAGGCCAAGTCCTCAGACGGCAGGTAGACGTCATGGCCTGACCACTCTGGTCAGAGTCTGTGGCCCCAGCAAGTTTCTCCATGTGGTGGGGATTTTGGAGCCCTTGCACAGGCAAGCCAGGCCTTCATCTTCCAGGCCCCACTGGGGTCCCTGCCAGGATCTGGGGCCCACCATGAGGCTAGTCTTACCCTTTGGATCCTGATGGAACATTCCCAGGTGGCCAGACTGGGGCTAGGAGGGTGACATGTCCAGGTGCTGGAACTTCCTCCACCTTTCCCACCAATCCTTTGCTCAGCTCCTTCCACGGGGGTTCTCAGAGCGCAGGAGAGGGGATGAGCAGAGATGGAGATAAACATACATTGGGGGTCTGAGTCACATAGGCCTGGAGGCTGGGAGCTGAGAGGTAGTCACAGACAGTGGCTAAGGGGGTAGCAGCCAGGGAGGCAAAGAGCTGGTGTGGCCCCTCTGGAATAGAAGGTCACTTTCCTCCTAGAAATGAGTGGTTAACAGCTCAGAAGGGCAACAAGCCTCTCCTATGTAGCCAGTCCCTGTGCTGGAGGAGGGATACCTGCGACCCTCTCACTGACCCTCACGTCTGGCTCTTGAGAGTTTCAGCGGTAGGAAAAGTTCAGATTCACCTTCCTCAGGTTGGGGGTCCAAGAGAATTGGAGAGCTTCCATGGAGGCTGCCTTCCAGGAAGGGTTACATGGGCAAGTAGAAATCAGGTGGACAGGTTGGGATGTGGGAGAGGTGGGGAAGAGGAGATGGGGAAGAGTGTATTGGCATCAAGGGGTCTGGGGGTTTCGTAGCAGATATGGTAGAGAATATAGGTTCTAGAGAGACTTAGGAGGTAGAATCTTGGTGATGTAGTAGACTCATTTGTTTGATATTTATTGAGCACCTACTACGTTCTCAGCAAGGAAGGAAATTTGTTTTTGTTTTAGTTTTTTTTTTTAATTTTTTTATACTTTTAGGTTTTTTTTATTTTTTTATACTGTAGATTGAACCCAGGGGTGTTTAACCACTAAGCCACATCCCCAGGCCTTTTTATTTTTTATTTTGAGTCAGGGTCTTTCTAAGTTGCTCAGGATCTCACTAAGTTGCTGAAGCTGGCTTCTAAGCTTGTAATCCTCCTGCCTCAGCCTCCCAAGCCTCTGGGATTACAGGTGTGCACCATTACACCCAGCTGGTTTGTCTTGATTCTATATAAGCCACTTTGGGTAGAACCACAGGAGCCTGCTTCCCTTCTCTATGTGCCACAGCCCTACCTGACCCTCCAGGAAAAGCACTCCAATGGTGCCTGGCAAGAAAGGGAGATGTTAAGATGACGGGAAATGGTCAAGGTCTTGCCTTCATGGACTTAGTAACTCCACTGATAGGAAAACAAAATTAATCTACTTGCCTGCCCCACCCCATGTCCCAAAGTGTGCTTTTGAATGTTTGCAAGAAGAGTTGGAATCACTGTCTAGGTGACTAGGATGGGTACCCAGAGGACAAAGGGGCAGGTCCTCAAGGTCCAAAGGTCCACAGGAAGGTTTAGGGCTTCCGAGACAATGTGCACAGGACACAGATTTGGGAGAAGTCCAAGTTCACATGATAGCTGAGGTCATGAGGTTTACTTAAGAAGAAGGGCTGAGGGCCAGAGCAGCTGTGATTAAGGAGTGAGGGCAAGTGACAGGCCAGTGGCCAAGAGCCTGGGGAAGGCCAGCAAGGAAGGAAATCAGGAGCCACAAGGAGAGACCCGTGCCAGTAGTGTGGCCTGTGGGTGCCAAAGTCAGCCTGAGCAGGACAGAGATCCAGGAGCTTGGGGATGAGGTTTGTGGGCAGCCACACATCTTTCTTCTGGAAAGATGACATCAGGACTGAGGCCATGACAGAGGCTGGCATTCCTAGATTGCACACATGGAAAAAGTGGCAAGAGATAGCATCAGTCTGACTGTGCTGACTCAGGTGCCCCAATGGGGCTGCGGTGGAGCAGAGGCGGTGGTGCGATCCCTCTTGGAACCCTGCTCATATGGCCAGAAGAGAACCTGTTGAAGGAGTTTCCTATGCGTATCCCTCCCCACAGGCTCTGGAAGAACCGGGGGCTGGAAGCCACCCGGGGATCCTTATCACAAGAGGAAGTTATCATGGGGGAAGGAAATGGGCCTCGTGGGATGTTCACGTGGTCATCTCAGATGATCTGAGCTTTCTTTATGCCTGTAGCCCCTTGTCCTCACAGGGGGTCAAAGATCCGGGAGATCCTTATGCAGCCCAGTTCACACCATCAATGACAATAGAGCCAGGATTTGAACCTATTCTGTTCCTGATCAGAAAGTCAGGAAGTCACCTGACTGGACCAGCAGCGGGGTTGGACAGAGCATACCTGTCCCCCTCAGGTCAGCTGTAAATGGAAACTCCTGCCAGGTGTTCCCAGGAAGTTTGGAGTGGCCTATGACTGCCCCAGGGTGGTATGGGGGCTGAAGGCAGAATTTCCCTAGCAGATCCCGCCACACAGGCAACTCTATGGGCCAGGCTTGGGCTCTTGGACTCAGCCATCAGCAATCCCTGGGTAGTCCAGGAAAGTTCCTCTTTTCCCTGATTAAGCTGCCTCATCTGTATGATGAATTAATTATTGCTGTCTCTCAGAAGGAATTGTTGCTGGTCCCAGGAACCCTTGTGGGAGAACCTTCCCAGGGAAGAGAGAGTGCTCCAATATCTCCCCCACCTCTGGGAAGTTTCTGAAGCCCAAACTATGCAGAGGACCAAAGTCTTTCTGGAGTTTTTAGGGACACCTGCTCTATTGCCCAGTCCAAGCCCCAAAGCACATCTTTCTAGATAGATGTGGTAAGGTGGAGATACCAGCATCCATCCAGAGGGCTCATAGGGTCCTGCATTACCCTGAAGGATCCTGAATGGCTCATCCTTCCATGAGAAGGGGGGCGGTTCTTATCACTCCTGGCCTCACTAGACACCAGCCCAGCTTCTATTCTTGCCATTTCAGCTCCAGGCTGACCCATCCTGCACCCCCTGTCTGGGTCCCCAAAAGTACACTTCCAAAAGGCCAGGCTGCCCTGGAAAGACTCTAGTTCTGGCACTGATCCTTGAGTATCCCCAGGCCCCTGGCACTAGTGGGTCCTGACCATCTGGGAGGCTCTGAGGGTGGTTAACCCCAACCATGGCTGGACTCTGCATTCATTCAACCAAGGTTTCAAAAGGGTCTGCAGCATTGCAAGCCTCACAGGTCCCTTGCACTTGGAGAGCTTGTGTCTGTGGTGCCATGGGGTGGGGAACAGAGATGGCAAGGCTCAGACTCACAGGCACAGTTTTAATGGTGCCCACCAAGACTTATGTGGCAAATGCACAGCTATGAGGAGATAGTCATGAAACGAGAGTCAGGCAAGTTAAGGGAAGGCTGGGGGCTTGTTGGGGTGTTGAATGAAGCAGGTGAATGAGGAGTCTTTGGTGCTGAGGTCTGGCTCAGGCAGGAGGGTGGATATCTGGGTCATCTGCTGCAGTGGGGGAGATCCAAGGTAATAGAGAGATTTTGGAATCAACCAGAATGGACTGGATGTGTGTGATAAATTTGAAAAGCCAGGAGACCTCCAGGAAGATCAATCAGTTTTCACTTTGTGTCCAGAGGTCCAGTCCCAGACACTGGGGAGAGAGACAGTGGTGAAGGGGGTGCTCCTAGCACCAGAGGAGGTGTGTGGATTGAGTGGGCCATGGGTAGTACTGGAGATGCCAGCTTTTAAGGATGGGTCAAGGGCACCAAGACATACTTATTTGCTTCAT